ACAGTAACACACTACCTTTGCTGGAAAGTTAGCATGGGCCTCCAGGCTCAGTAATGGCCAACTCTACTGACGCAGAAGTATTTAGGCATGGTTCTTCTATTCACTGCACTACAGACTAAACCAGGTCAAATTTATCTAGGAAAAAAAGGTGTGTAAGATTTGTTTTGTTTTTGTCTGTTAAGAATAAGCTACTCAATAAAATGGATGACTCTTTGGTTGTCACTCTAGCTTCTTTTAGAAATGTAAACCAATACTGTCAAGGTCTGAACTCATAGGCCTACCCATGAGCATGGAGGATTGAATTAGGCTGTGCTGGAAGAACTTCTGACTTCATGGCCAAGCCCCTTCTGTTTAATTTTTCTCTCATGCTTTAGCGAGTTCCTTTCACATTTGGTTTTCATGGGACAATACTGAAAAAACATTAAGACCCAAGAATATGAAAATTGGCTCAGCTTAATCCATAAAAGTCAAGTTGCTTTGGATCCTGGGCATTGTCCCTTTTGGCCAGTGATCACAAGCCCAATTTCCCTTCTATGCTACCATGTAGTCTTGTTGCCAGTTTTCCTTATATATCCTCAAGGTTCTTTGTAAGCTTATTCCTTTAATCACCAGGCATTTCTTCCCCCAAATCTCAAAGAAATGGATTTCTCTTCTATCCTTGTCTGTCAGTAGCCTGAGAAAGATCTGGTTGTTAACATCCAGCCCTGAATTTTCTCTGATGAGAGGCAAAAGACCCTACAGTCACTGACTCTTATTCCCCAGAAGTGGAAGGAGAGAGAGAGGAGGAAGGAGAAAATTGGATCTCTTATCATGATCAATAAATACTTAAGCACAACATTTAGGAAATACTAGGAATGAATCCTAAGACATATGAGATATTTAAGATATAGGACATGTATAGTTCCTAAAAGGCCTAAAAGGTTGAAGAAACCTACAAACTTGTAAGGAAACAGAAATAAAACAAGTAGCATATAAGAAATATAATGAAAGGCAATATAGCAGGTACCATGTATTAATGCCAGATATAACATTAGCAGAATGTTCCAAAAAGAGTGAGATCTCTGTGGGAAATATTTCACAGGAACAGGAACTAGGCAAGGGAAGGTATCAATCTAACAGGTTTGGTTAGAATACATTAAGATTCAAGAAAAATCAGCAAATGCTGAGTCCCTATTATGTGGAAGGTATCATTTAGCTAACAAAGAAATACAAGACATGATGCATGAATCAAGGGATGTACAATCATGGTGCTTTCCACCTGCTATTCCTTCTGTGGAACTCTCCCCACTGCTTCCAACTCTCCGTCTTTTTTTTTTTTTTGAGATGGAGTCTTGCTCTGTCGCCCAGGCTGGAGTGAGTGCAGTGGCGCGATCTCAGCTTACTGCAACCTCCGCCCTCGGGTTCAAGCGACTCTCCTGCCTCAGCCTCCTGAGTAGCTGGGACTCCAGGCACATGCCAACACGCATGGCTAATTTTTGTAATTTTAGTAGAGACAGGGTTTCACCATATTGGTAAGGCTGGTCTCCAGCTCCTGACCTCAGGTGATTCACCCACCTCGGCCTCCCAAAGTGCTGGAATTGCAGGCATGAGCCACTGCGCCTGGCCAACCTTCTTAACTCTTACACTATGCCCATCTGAGATCAAATAAATCCCCTTAAAAGCTAGAGCACTTACCACAGCTGCATTTGTATATTACTTGTCAATTTATTTGACTAATGTCTGTGTAGCTTACTAAACTTCAAGTGTCATGTGAATGGGATTCATGTCAAGTGTTTGGTCATGAGTACAGCCCAGCACCTCATATAGTGCCTGACATGTATGACATTTGATAAATGACCAGGAGGGAAAGAAAGAGAAGAGAGAAAGAACTAGTCTAAAGTATGCAGTGGAGCTTGTATATCTTGTTAATTACTATAAAAGAGTTAGATAACGAGCATGACATAATTACTGTTAAAAATAGAACAGACAATAAACATCACTGTTTTGAGAAGGGAGAGACTATTTCACCTGTTAAGGTCTAGGAAGAGCTTACAGAGGAGTTGAGGCTTGGGTTCAACATTTAAAAACCAAATAGCGTTTAAGTAAGTAAAGAGAAACAGGTCTCTTTGTAGGAAGTACAGCATGAACAAAGTATCATGAGAAGAAAGCACAAGGCATATTTTGGGAGCAGTAAACCTAAAACAGAGGTTTTACAGGCGAATAGGATGGAAAGGTAAGGTAAAGTCAGAAAGTGGCGGGACTGAATGTCAGGCTAAAGGTTCATTATTTTTTTTCTTTAGGCATCAGGAACCACTGAAGATGGTTGACAGAGGAAAGAATCTAAGTGAAGTACTATTAATTAATATCAATCTGGCAGTAGAACTGAGATATAAGACATTAAATCAGTTAAGAGATTTTTAAAGCTTGAGGGAAAGACGATTGCCACAGATCCTGGTATAGTATAGTATAGTATAGTATAGTATAGTATAGTATAGTATAGTATAGGTGTTCGCTATGTATTATTTGAGTTGTTAAAGGTCTGAACTAAGGTGCAGGATGCTGGGCATGGAAAGAATTAGAAATATATTCCAAAGAAATGACAAAGCAAGACATATGAACAAAATCTAGTGAAAAAGAAAGTGATTAAAGTAGTCAAGGTTCTAGCAGGAAACAGATGGTACACTCAAAGGGTTAGTGGACATGTTTTAATGAAGAAATTATTTGCAAAGGTATGGGCAAGTTTAACAAATCAACAAGATATAGTGATGTACCCAGGCACTCGCAAAGCAGGAAGCCTTTACCAGCCTTAAACCTAAAGGGACAGTTACTGGAACCATGAGACTTTACCCAAAGGAAAGAGCTATAGCTTCAACGGGAGCCATGGCTTTAGGTGAGGAACTCCAGACACTGTCAAAGATCTGCTAGTGCCTTCCACTGGTCTATTCTAATGGGAAGCCAGAGAACAAGGGAGATTGAGTGATGCTACCCATACAGCCTAACCTCTTGGAACACAGAACAGGGCAAAAAAGATGAATAGAGGATATGGAAGGGTAATGAGAGTCTATACAGCATAGTGAACAAGGACAAGTTTCCTGCTAGGGAAACTAAAGTTGAGTGATCCTTGTTTGTGCTTTCCTTAGTCACTGGCTCTAAAATGATAGAAATCTAGGAGCTGATAGTGAAAGGGGGAATTAAGAAGGATTGTAAGTAACAGTCCAAGAGGTAATGAACAGTTGAGCATTTGAAAAAATGTAACTCTTTCAGAAAGAGGTGAGAAGAGACAACCCCTAAACCCAATGCAAAAAGTTCAATATGGGGTGCTCAGATCCTGTGATGTATCTCTTCCACCCACAAATAGTAACTAAAGTTGGACCTCTCTGTCCAATTTGTTTTACAGACCCCAGTCTCTTCTTTATTCCCACAACTACTATCTACATCTCAATCCTTTGGCTTCAGTGACATGTCTAATTTTTTTTTTTTTTAATTATTATTATTTTTTATTGGTTGTTTTCTTATCTGCCTAAATTTGGTGCCTCCCATCTCTCTACTAGGACAGCCATGTAGGGACAGATTGACTGAGACCTTTCTGCCACACCACTGAAACCAATCCAGCCACAAGAACCCTTACTTAGTTAATCCTCAGATACCTACCTCCCACATTTTCTATCTTAGGGAACTAAGCCTCACTTATCCATTATTTGCAGAAGAAAAGAATAAATCAGAGGTAGAAAGAGTCACAGTGAGAGAGAATATCCAGAATATCCAGATAAGAGAACAATAAGAGGAAACACAGGAAAATTAGAATTGGTGATCAACATTTTATTGGCAAGTCAGCCACATAATGATTAAGATATTCTAGGTCAGACAGACGGGGTTTTGAGTTCTAGCTGTGTCACTAGTTAGCTATGTGACTTAGGAAAATTACTTGATCTCCATAAGCCTTGGTTTTCTTCATTTGTAAAAGTGGGACTATCTACCTTACATAAAAAGTATTTAGCATCATGCCTGGTACATTGCAAATGAGTCCTCAACAAATCCAGCTATTTATAAATCATCATCATCATTATATGAGTGGTGATGTGCTGTCACTATATATATGGCTAATATACTGCAAAAAAATGGTTAGAATTATTAATCTAAGGCATGTAATTATGCCAAGGCATATAAAAGGACATAGAGATATCGCAAGATGAATATGGAATATATAAGATTAACACAGTTCATCTCCAAAGGATAAATGTGAAATGTAGGATGGATGAGCAGCAGGTAGTCCTGGGAGCTGCATGTTCAGACTGGATGAAGTCACCTCCTTTTCTTATTCTAGTCTAGAAGACTTCCCCTAGGAAGCAGGCTCATTCTGTAAAATCCAACGAGTCAGTATTTACCAAACGTTTACCATGTGCCTAAGACTACAATAAATTACAAATAATTGAAAAAATTAAGGATAAGATATAATTTCTACCCCCAAGAACCCTACAATCTCTTGTGAGGGCTATGAATACAATCTAATAAAGTATCAAATTCTACAACGTGGACTATGTAAGTACACTAAGTAATCACAAAAAGGGAAGAGCTAATGGGTTACAGTCCTTGGTGAAAAATTCATGGAAGCTGGGTTGGAGTGGGGTGGCGGGAGCTGCTGACCTTGACATACATAAAGGATATTTAAAAGGGAAAATAACTGGGAGTTGGGAGCAATCCAAAGATGCCACTCTAGAAATATTCTGGTAGGAGGAACCTCTGAAATCAATTCAACTTTACTGAATGGCTACTAGTACTGTGTTAGATGTTGAGGTAGAGAAAAGAACAAGATAATCTCTGATATCGAGGAATTCAAAGTGTCCTAATGGAAAACTAGGAGAGCAAAACAAACAAAAACAGTTATTACAAAGCTGTGTGACAAATGCTGTAACAAAGGAATGACCAGGGAGTTCTGGAGCACTGTGAGAACTTTCAGTAGCATGGCAGGGTCTTCCGTGTGAGTGATTTTCTGGAGCTTAGATCCCGTCCGCCCCAGTCCACCAATCCTCGGACAGGGGAGGGCACTAGCATCTAAGTCATTCATTCTGAGTGATGAGGAAGTGAGTGGGAGCTGGGAGCTAACACTTGCACTGAGGCCTGAAGGGTTGAGTAGGTGTTTGCCAGAGTGATTGGGAAGGGGATGGCAACTTTGACAGAAGAAATACCGAACACAAAAGTACTGAGGCATAAGGGGCTGACAAGTTTAGGAATTTTGTGACGCTTTCCTGTCTTCTTTCCCATCACCTTCACTTAGGGTTGCCGGATAAAATACAAACTGCCCACTGAAATCTAAATCTCTGATTACCAACTAACAATTTTAAAATATAAGTATACCTCCAATATTGCATGGGACATACACACTCAGCCCCCTTCAACTCATCCTGTCCTGTCCGGGGCCCCACAAATCCCCGGTGAATACCGGCGAGCTCGTGGAGTAAAGCATGAGAAGGCTTATCTTCCTTTCACTCCTACATTTTTCACTCTCGGGTCTCCAGCCCAGGACTGAGGGATGTAGCGCGCAGCCCGCAGCTCGCTACGCGTCGGAGGGTTTTCCTCTGAGGACTGGAAACGGGGCGCGGGATAAGGGCGGTGGGGCTGGGGGTTGTCACTTACGAAGAAATCTCACTCCGCTCCATAAAATCCTCAATCCAGTGCCGGATTTCCCGGCAAGCGGACGTCTTTCCGCCCAGGGACCGGAAATCCCGCCTCCGCCGGAAGAAGATGCGGAAGCGAGACCGCCTATCCAGAGGAAGGCAAATGTTTGGCTCCGGCGGCTGAGAATCCCGCGCGGGGCTGGAGACAGGTAGCAGTACGGGGGTGGGGCTTCATGCCGGAAGTGGTAGTCCGCAGTTGTTTCGGTTGGCCGCCTAGCGGGTGGGAGATGCGGCGGTCACCTGCTGCGAGGAACTGAAGGGAAGGTTAGAGGTAGGAAGGCAGTTTGGAGCTGGGGCTGAGCAGCTGTCGCACAGTCAGATCATGGGCTCGACCAAGCACTGGGGTGAATGGCTCCTTAACTTGAAGCTGGCCCCCGCCGGCGTGTTTGGTGTGGCCTTTCTAGCCAGAGTCGCCCTGGTTTTCTATGGGGTCTTCCAGGACCGGACCCTGCACTTGAGGTATACGGACATTGACTACCAGGTCTTCACCGATGCCGCGCGCTTTGTCACGGAGGGGCGCTCGCCTTACCTGAGAGCCACGTACCGTTACACCCCGCTGCTGGGTTGGCTCCTCACTCCCAACATCTACCTCAGCGAGCTCTTTGGAAAGTTTCTCTTCATCAGCTGCGACCTCCTCACCGCTTTCCTCTTATACCGCCTGCTGCTGCTGAAGGGGCTGGGGCGCCGCCAGGCTTGTGGCTACTGTGTCTTTTGGCTTCTTAACCCCCTGCCTATGGCAGTATCCAGTCGAGGTAATGCGGACTCGATTGTCGCCTCCCTGGTCCTGATGGTCCTGTACTTGATAAGGAAAAGACTCGTCGCGTGTGCAGCTGTGTTCTATGGTTTCGCGGTGCATATGAAGATATATCCGGTGACTTATATCCTTCCCATAACTCTCCACCTGCTTCCAGATCGCGACAATGACAAAAGCCTCCGTCAATCCCGGTATACTTTCCAGGCTCATTTGTACGAGCTCCTGAAGAGGCTGTGTGATCGGGCTGTGCTGCTGTTCGTAGCGGTTGCTGGACTCACGTTTTTTGCCCTGAGCTTTGGTTTTTACTATGAGTACGGCTGGGAATTTTTGGAGCACACCTATTTTTATCACCTGACTAGGCGGGATATCCGTCATAACTTTTCTCCATACTTCTACATGCTGTATTTGACTGCAGAGAGCAAGTGGAGTTTTTCCCTGGGAATTGCTGCATTCCTGCCACAGTTCATCTTGCTTTCAGCTGTGTCTTTCGCCTATTACAGAGACCTCGTCTTTTGTTGTTTTCTTCATACATCCATTTTTGTGACTTTTAACAAAGTCTGCACCTCCCAGTACTTTCTTTGGTACCTCTGCTTACTGCCTCTTGTGATGCCACTAGTAAGAATGACTTGGAAAAGAGCTGTAGTTCTCCTAATGTTATGGTTTATAGGGCAGGCCCTATGGCTGGCTCCTGCCTATGTTCTTGAGTTTCAAGGAAAGAACACCTTTCTGTTTATCTGGTTAGCTGGTTTGTTCTTCCTTCTTATCAACTCTTCCATCCTGATTCAAATTATTTCCCATTACAAAGAAGAACCCCTGACAGAGAGAATCAAATATGACTAGTGTATGTTCCACACCTTCTGCTACTGTGTTACATTCTGATTGTCTTGTATGGACCAGAAGAGAGCTTTGGGACATTTTTTCTCAACATTCTAAGGATTCTAGTGAAAGTTTCCGTGTTCCAACAGAATGTTTGTCTTGTATATAAAAGGGACACAATAATTGAGGTCCACCTTCTAGGAAATCCTAGGACTCGTTTATTTGGGACATGGTGGGAATAAAGTGTAGGAGGACAAGCCGCAGACAAAACTCCTCAGACACCAAGTTAAAGAAGGAAGGGGTTTATTCGGTCGGGGGCATGGGCAAGACCCCTGTCTCAAGAGCCGAGCTCCCAGAGTGAGCAATTCTTGTCCCTTTTAAGGGCTCACAACTCTAAGGAGGTCCGTGTGAGAGGGTCGTGATCGATTGAGCAAGCAGGGGGTATGTGACTGGGGGCTGCATGCACCGGTAATTAGATAGGAACAAAACAGGATAGGGATTTTCACAGTGCTTTTCTATACAATGTCTGTAATCTATAGATAACAGAACGGATTAGGTCAGGGGTTGATCTTTAACTACCAGGCCCAGGGTGTGGCGCCGGGCTGTCTGCTTGTGGATTTCATTTCTGCCTTTTAGTTTTTACTTTTTCTTTCTTTGGAGGCAGAAATTGGGCATAAGACAATATGAGGGGTGATCTTCTCCCTTAAAAGGTTACATATTGGAAAATGAAAGGCTTATGAAACTATCAGATACTAAAAGATTCTTAAAATAGAGGAATATAGTTAGAGACATCAGGTTTAAGCCAGTATTTGTTCCTGTTTTACAATGCTTCTGTCTTAAGCTGTGTCTCAACTTTTAACCCCTGTCTTTTCTTTCTAAAGCTTTCCTGACAGCTGTGAAAATCCAAAAAATATTCTTAGGCTGGGTATGGTGGCCCTTGCCTGTAATCCCAGCACTTTGGGAAGCTGAGTTGGGAGGGTCGCTTGAGTCCAGGAGTTCTAGACCCACCCGGGGCAAGATGGTGAGACCTAGTCTCCACAAAAAATAAAAAAACTTAGCCAGGCGTGGTGATGCACCCCTGTAGTCACAGCTGCTTGGGAGGCTGAGGTGGGAGAATTGCTTGAGCCCAGAGCAAGACCCTGTCTCAAAAAAAAAAAAAAAAAAGGAAAGGACAACTTTTTAGATATAAAAGTATTAAATAATACTAAGGTGCTTAGTATTGTTTCAAAGAGTTTTTAACTTCTATATTAAATGTGGGGGCTTAGAAGATAATCCAAAGACTTTGGGAGGCTGAGGCGGGCAGATCACAAGGTCAGGAGATCGAGACCATCCTGGCTAACACGGTGAAACCCCGTCTCTACTAAAAATACAGAAAATTAGCCAGGCCTGGTGGCAGGTGCCTGTAGTCCCAGCTGCTCCTCAGGAGGCTGAGGCAGGAGAATGGTGTGAACCTGGAGGCAGAGCTTGCAGTGAGCCGAGATGGTGCCACTGCATTCCAGCCTGGGCGACACAGCGAGACTCCATCTGGCGAGGGGAGGGGGAAAGATAATCCAAAGAATTTAAATTGTAATCATGCTTCATGTATTTGTATTATTACTTAGTTTTTTAGCACTTAGTCCCAGTGGTATTAGACTGGCATTTGGTTTCATACAAAAAGGATTAAATTTAAATCCATTCATGTTTAGACTTGAGGTATTACATTTTTAAAACTATCATCTTGCCTTTAATGTTTGAGGTCCTTAAACACACAAACTATTGGTACATTTCAGTATCCTCTTACCCCTTTGTTTTTAAGTTTTTGATTGCTAAAGCAAGATTTTTTTTTCTTCTAGAATTTAAGTCAATCAAGTGTTATCTTTGCTGTAAAAATGGGTAATGGTAGATTTTAGGTGATAAAACAACTTGTTAGTAAGATATTTCCTAGCTTAAAAAAAAATCAAAAATTCCATGATAGAAATGCAGACCTGTGAGGGAAACTCCTGAAAAGCATATGAAGCATCCCCAAGAGCCATGGGTTTTCTAGACCAGGAAATTTAGAGGGAGATTGTGGAAATGAGGCTTAGATGGGCAGATCGTTTGCCTTATCACTATAATATTTCTGGGGGGAAAATGCTTGCTGAGTTGTTTAAACAAGCATCCTTACTTTTTTTTTTTTTTTTTAAATTAAACAGCCTGTCTAGGCTTGGGAGTCCCTAAACACTATGGTAGCAGTATATGAATGTGATTTTGTGATTGTGTTTTTTAAAAGATAAGTAATTTGATAAACTGTTCTTTTGCAGTCAAAAACACTCACAAATAAGGCAAAAAGAGTTCCACAGTATTATATTTCATGTCAGTTCAGGCCTAAAAGCCTTTGCAAATAAGATGTCTATAGGCTGGTCACAATTAGCAATGTTATTATTGGCAGCACTTCTTGGATGGATACCTTTTGGGACCTTTCATTAGAAAGAGGGTAAGAATGGGGTGGTTTTGTATGGGCTCCTGTTTGGGGTAAAAATAGCAGAGTTAGTTGCTGAGGACAGTGACCTTCCTTATAACATTTAGTCTCATACCCATATTGGGTCTTGTCTTGAGGACCATTTATATGTGCTTGTTTACTAGTGGCCTTCCAGCCATAGCATTCTTACCTTTTTTTCCTATTCTACTGTAAGAATTAAAAAAAAAATTATAGAGCCAGCAGGGGAGGAGGCAGGAAACAGAAATCGAATTTCATCATTCTAATATAATTGTCCCTTTTTTGTATTTGTGACTTTGTTTTATAATTATATTTTCTTACTAATTATTATTTTTTAACATTCTTTATTGTGGCTTACTCTTCATACTTAGAATTGAAATTGTTGGACATCACATGTATATTCACATTATAAATACATCATTCTTCCACTGTTAGACCTGCAGATTGCTTCCAGTTTTTAATATTCTAAATAAGATGTTCAACAGTTTCTGGTTTTAACTCATTCTCTTAGGACATTCTTAGAAGTTAGAAACATTTCTGCTGGGATCTTTGGAGGGAACTTCAAACTTTAGATACTTTCCTGCAAGAAATACCAAAGAAAGGCAGGTGTTTCTTAAAGGGATGCAAAGGATATTTTGCAGTTTGTATGCTGCAAAACGTTTAGTTAGTAAGTTAACTAAAAAATTGGGTTAATTTGGTTTCTTGGGGGATTTTAATTTTTAAATTTGTTTTCTGGTTATCTAAAATCTTTTTTTTTTTTTGCTTCTTATCACAATCCTTTTATTTCCTTTTTAGTCCTTTAATAACACCTTCAAATTTTATAAGACTTTTACTTATTTCCTACATAATTCTTTTTTTTTCTTATACCACCCCTTAAGATTGATATGTTCATTTACAGATAAACATTAATTATTAGATAAAGAGGGATGGTTCTCAAGATTGTGTGTGTTCTGAACAGAGGGAGCTACATAACATTTTCTTCTGTAATTGCCTTTGTAACGTCTTTAGAATGTGGTTCCTAAATATTCCTAGATAAATTCTCTTGATAGGCCCATTGGAAAGGCTAATACTCCCACCAGACTGCTTTGTTCCTCCCTGGCAAAAGAATTCTTAAAACCACTGATTTTAGTTACTGACTTCTCACCATCTGGACTCTCACAAGATGTTTCAGAAGTTGTGTAGAACTTGTCTTTCAGTTAGTTGACTTGTGACTGAATTTATTGTTACTTCTCTAATATCAGTTGTTTTCTGCATTACCACCCTCTCCCCTAACCATCTGTACTATGAATAGAAAAGGAAAAAGATGGAAAATTATACCTAGGATTGTCCCTAAATGCAACCTCTTGGTTCCCCCCACCCTTCATGTTTTATTATAAACTATTTTAAGGACTGGGTGTGGTGGTTCATGCCTATAATCCCAATGCTTTGGGAGGCTGAGGCAGGAGGATCACTTGAGGACAGGAGTTTGAGACCAGCCTGGGTAACACAGTGAGACCCCCATCTGTACAAAGAAAAAAAAAAAAGTGCTACTCGGGAAGCTGAGGTGGGAGGACCACTTGAGCCCAGGATTCGAGGAGGTTATAGTGAGCTATGATTGTGCCACGGCACTCCAGCCTGGGTGACAGAGCAACACCCTGCCTCTAAAACAAAAAACTCTAGCTGTTTTGTTTTTTTTTTTTACTTTTCTGAGACAAAATTTCACTTTGTCACCCAGGCTGGAGTGCAGTAGTATAATCATGGCTCACTGCAGCCTTGAACTCCCAGGCTCAAGTGATCCTTCCTCCTCAGCCTCCCAAGTAGCTGGGACCACAGGTATGTGCCACCATGCCTGGCTAATCCTTTTACTTTTTGTAGAGATGAGGTCTTGCTATGTTGCAAGAGGGAGATTGCTTAAGTGATCTTCCCTCATTGGCTTCCCAAAGTTGGGATTATAGGCGTGAGCCACTGCACCCAGCCTGACCTAACTATTTTAAACATTACTTATATCGCCATCATCTAAATTCAACAACAATTTGCCATATTTGCTTTATGTATAGGTATAAATATATATATGTAATTTTTTGAACCATGTGAAGTTGCAAACATCATTGAACTTCACCACTAAATATATCAGCATGCATCTCCTAAAAATAAGATGTTTTCTTACAAAACCATAATTCTGTTATCTATTATTATTATAATTTAACATTCTGTCATTTTCAAATTTCTTCAGGTATTTTTTGTTACATCTTAAAGAACAGACATTCTTGGATCTCAAAGTTTCCGAGGAAGGAAAGAACATGATGGATAATCCATAATTAAGAAGTTTGGATCTTTTCCTAGTCTTAAAAACAAAGTGAGAACTAAAGGGGTTTACCTTCCATCAAAGTTAAACAAATTAATTCTTTTATGTGTCATACTTTCTGCCTGTCTCCCTAAAAACATGGGGGTGGTAATCTCTTTGTTTTATCTGGTAGGTTTTTCAGATAAAAGCTTATACATGTTTGGAATGTTAATATCCAACCCCCAACTCCAAGCCCTGCCCCAACAACAACAGCTAATTATTTTACATCTTGATGATGGTAAGTTTTTCATGATTAACCAATTTTGGGCACCTATTCTACCATATATGTTTTTATTTAATTTTCACAACAACACTTCAAAGTTGATATTCATATTCTAAATTTATAGATGAACAAAGAGGCTCAAAGATTAAATAGGGATTTTTACCCATGCTTTTTCCATTATATTATGTTTTGGATTTTTCCAGA